GGCTGAGTGAGCGGGTGGGGCACCGACATCTGCGTTGAAAACTCCATTTATAGGACCCCGAGCAGGCAGAGTGTGTGCAAAGCGCTCTCCACGGACGCTGCAGATGAATGCTTTGGGCTGCCAGCCAGCGTTGTAAACGCCCTGTGCCCTGCTCTAACATAAGAAAAATAGGCTTGGGAGAATTCAACATTGTCCGTCTCTTGGCTGGTTCCGAAGTGCGGCAAGGGGGAGAGAAGTAAGATAAGTTACTGGCATGGGGAAACGGACCACCCTGGTGAGCGAAATCATGGCGGGGCTCCCTGCCCCCCGCAGGGACCCAGTCCGCAGGCCTCTGCAGTGGCGGTTTTCACATCAGTTTCCTCTTGGACCCTTCTGGCGGGGCAGAGACCGTAGGGACTTCCAACTTTGCCCAAAAAAATAACTATATAATCTTAGAGTTGGAAGAGACCAGTTAATTGAGTTCAGTCTCGCTTTTCCACTTGTGAAGTATTCCAGAGAGAGCAGGGGAGGCAGCCAGAGTCCCGGCTAGTTAATGCAGAGCCAGGCCCGGGACGAGTCCCCCCGATCCCTAGGTTGTGTGTTCCATCTTATAGCATTAATCTGGTCAAGGGACTTTCTCAGTTTTATTTTCTTACGTGGATTCAATTACCAACCAGCTGGGAACAGCTCTTACTTTAAAACCTGCATTTGAGGGGCACCTGGGTGGCTCAGTGGATTAAGCCGCTGCCTTCGGCTCAGGTCATGATCTCAGGGTCCTGGGATCGAGTCCCACATCGGGCTCTCTGCTCAGCGGGGTGCCTGCTTCCCTCTCTCTCTCTCTCTGCCTGCCTCTCCGTCTACTTGTGATCTCTCTCTGTCAAATAAATAAATAAAATCTTTAAAAAAAAAAAAAAAAAAAAAAAAAAAAAAAACCCTGCATTTGAACAGGATCTGAAATTTCAGACTCCTGAGAGGGCCTTGGAACCCTCGAGCGTGGAGACCCATACACGTGGGGCCAAAGAAGGAATGAGAACAGGTCTACAGAAGCCAGTGGGGAGGAGAAAGAGCTGAAGCTGGAAAGAAGGACCAAGTCATTTTTTAAAACTCAGAGACAACAGCTTCTAGGTTTCCTAGGCTACTGGAAACAAATCGAGAGCATGATGGGGCACGGAATTTGCATCTGCTTCCAGAACTAGGATACTAGAAATGAGGATCCCCATAAGAGCACTAAGTCCTGGATTTGCAAACCTACAAGCTCGCAGTCAAGCATTTCCCCCATACCCTGTAAGATACAGGTCTAACTCCGTGCTCCATCCATTGATGATCCAAACTGTGGGCTTTTCTAGATGTTTGGTTCTTATATTCATGGAGTAGGAGAGGCAGATGGGGAAAACAGAGGCCAGGGGAGGGACACAGGCAGGGCCACTTGGCTAACAATGGAGCCCAAATTCAAATCCTGTCCCCAAACTGACCGTAGGTCTCTTTCCACCCTGTGGTTAGTCTTTTGTGGGAGATGTGAGGGGAGCTTAAACACCCAGGAAAAGCTCAGGAGACCAAGAGGCAGTGGAAGTCTGTGGCCCACCCATCCCTGTGTTGGGGAGCCATCGAGCGGCCACCGGCGCAGGGCCCAGCCCTGAAGGCTCATGGGGCAGCTCCTGCACCCACAGCCAAGGACAATGGACAGAGGTACTTTCATGCAAAATGTTTATTTGGAATACGTGTGCTACTGAGCAGGCCAACCATCCGGAACTAGCAAGTCTTTACATTGTGCAGAGAAACTAGAGCTCCCCAGGGACATTTATCTGGGCTCTGCCGGCATCATGACTTCTCCTCACCCGTCTCCACCTCTCATCACCTTAAGGCCTCTGGTGCTGCCTGATCTGGGGGTGGCGAGCCACAGCTGGTGACTGGATGTGACCCATCGTTGTGTCTTTTCCTGGGATCCTCTCTACCCGCCTCCTTCTGCCTTCGTGGTGCCCAAAGAAATGATGGGCACATACAGAGCTTCTGTGGGGTTCCAGGCCTTTGTGGTCACCACACTTGGGAAGGTATTTTTGGTTCTGTTTTGTTTTGTTTTTTTCTTCGAGATGCCTCTGTTTAGCATTCCTGACAGAGCTGAGCGTGAGGGCTCAAATTTCAGCTGACCCAAGTGGAGAGTAACTCATTGATTTTTATAATCTGTAGGTTCCCGTTTTTCTCCTTGGCTAGGACATATGGTTTTCATTTCTAATTTCTGCCATATGCTTCTCAACTTGAACTTGCTTTTGTCTCTCTCTTGCTCGGTGACAGTGAGTGTCACACATGTGGGCCCTGCCACAGGGTGGGGTGAAGGAGACAAGTCTCGCCCCGCTGGTGGAGCTGCAGCCCCCGCAGGCCGGGCTTCTGTACGGAGGAGGGGACGGATCACCTTATGGGGTGTTCTTCCTGCTCACACACACCCCCTATCAAGGCAATGGGATGAACGGTTGGACAGTCTGGACTTGCCTTTGGGTTCAAGTTTCAGTCACTGAGCTGAGGCCACAGAACAAGGACTTCCCTGTCTTCTGTAATAAACACAACTGCGACAGGGGCTCTCGAAAGTCAAAGCCAGGAATCTGCAGGCACTCTGCCCGCCTCTCCGCACTGCTGATGAACCCAAGGACTGTTTCAATGGGCAGCTGGTTAGACCATATTGACCTTTTAAAGAGGCCTCAATCGGGACTATAGCCTTCCCTGATTTTTTTTTTTTTTTTTAATAAAGTGTGAAGGCTGGAGATCTATTCTCTCTTTAACCTTCTTTCACCATCCCCTCCTTCTTCACTTGGTGGGTCCCAGAGTGGGCCAGCCCACGCTCCTGGAACAGGACCTCCCACCATGCAGACTCTTAAAGGTCACTTGGAATCTGTCTCTTAAATCCTGTCCTGAGTAGCAACTCTCCTCCCACAAACAGATGTACAGAATCTGCAGTCACAAACAAAAGAAAAAACCAATGCGAAAATCCCCCAGGCCTGTAAGGCCACAGCCGGAGACTCATCCCGTCCCTCGAGCACGGACAGATCTAGTAGAAAGTGGCCTGGACACGGCGGTAACTGGTCGTGAGAACTCAGGAAACCAGGAGGGCTGCTCTGAGCCCAGCTCTTCAGAGAGTGGGAGCTTAGCTATACTGGTCACTTTCCAAGAGCTGCTAACCTGACACTTAATTGTGTCCTACTTCACCAAACAAAACAAACAAAGCAAAACAGCCAAGACACACAAACACAGTCTTTGTGGCGAGGGTCACAGATGAAATGGGGGGCTTCATCCTATTCTCCATCAGTCCTTTCTGCTGAGAGCTGGGAAGTAGCCGTGTCAGCAGCGGGTCGGCTGTACCCTTCTTCCTCAGAAGCCCGAAGCTAAGCCGCCAGCGGGGTCTGTCATCCTGCTGCTGCAAAATGCGGTCAGGGTCGAGCTCCAGAGTCATCTGAGTTCACACACTAGAACTTCCATTAACCACCACACTTCAACCAACAGTCAAATAGAAAAGGTTTGACTTAGAAATTGCACTCAGATCAAGACCTTCACCTATGATTCTAGTAAGGAAACCAGGATCTCAGAGAGCAGATACGTTTTCAGGGACTTTAAAGAATTCCACGTGACAAGCGACATGGACAAGTGTTCTGCAGATGTACGCAGGAGCAGTGCCCCTTGTGCGGGCAGTTTTCTGTGGCCCGCAGAGACCTAAGGTTGAAAATGGTATAATGAAGATACTTGGTTTTTGGTAATTTCAAAATTTCCTTCAAAGCAAGCCAGTTAGAGCTCTATTACCAACCTGTTTTCCCTTCTCTTGTAAATCAAAAAGTACAAATACATTTCATGTGCAATTCCTCATGTAACGTTGAGTCCGAATGGCCAAAGGTAGAATTTTTAATTATAGTGAGCCCCAAATTAGGAAACACCAACAGTTAGCACACGTAGGAGAAAAACGATGACAAACACAAAATATGAGAACTTTTTTTTTTTTCTGGCCACAAATAATAATGGAGAGTTATATAAGCATAAGAAGTAGTAATAATAAAAGAATAATTCGCATTAAGTTCAAAACTTTTTGGGAAAGCTATTTTGGATTAGAGAATGTATTATTTACCTCAAAGTGTGCAGGCTTAAAAGTCAAATTGTCAAAGTTATCCCCCCCCCCACACACACACACCACAAGATGTATATACAGGCTGGAATCCAGAAATTAAGGTTCAAAGTATAAATATTGATAATTTCAACTGAATTCAGAATGGTCTCAGAAAGATGGTACAATTTAGGATAGAAACTGAAAGGGTATCCTATTTTCCTTTGTGATATATGTAGGTTACCCTATTTTTTCTCTTCAGGATCCTTTTCTTTCTCCTAAGGAATAAGCTAAAATTTAGTTATTTTCATTAAAAGAATTTCTTAGATGCAATCAACAAATTATAGAGGAAGTCAGGACAGAGGTCACAGATATGTATATGTGCATGTGTCTCTGTGTGTAGGTCCGTCTACAAATACCTTCTCCCATTTGCAGCTGAAGGAGGGAGGCATGCCCCATGAAGACCTCCAGGTCGCCACCCTCGTTTGATTCTACAGATGACTTGAGTGATTCACCAACTATAACAGACCGACCTCTACCCCATTAAATGTTTCTCGGGAAAAAGTTCCCGCCATTCCAAAATGCTGAGACTTGGCCCATCTCATTTGCTGGGAAAGCAAGAACCTACTACAGCTTTTCACCAGAGCCAAAATCTGGAAAGAAGTAAGCGTGAGAACCAAGAGTACAGGTAAGTGTATTTGAAATGACTGTTCAGTATGACTTCGATTCTGTGTAGTTTATTACAGTCCAAAGACATGAAGTTCTTATGAAATAAAGTCATATGGTACAGATAAAAACAGGCCAGTCAGAGTTGTTTTGCGGGCCAAACTGCGGACCACCCAACAGTTCACATTTTAGGAATCTGAAACGCCTAAAAATAGATAAGGTGGTTTCTCAAAGAAAAAGAGAGAGAAAGAAACAGGGAGAGAGAATAAGAGGGAAGGAAAGAAAAGCGAGGGAAGGAGGAAGGAAAGCAACAAGAAACCGTTCAGGAAGTGTTAGCTAACAAGACACCTTACTTGGAAAGAAGGGGCAAACGCATAAAAATGCGTCATCTGTGCAGGCTACGGCAACAGTAAACACAGTTGAATACATAGGCCTCATAGTAATTTTGTACTGGCATATATATAATGTCTCTGGCGCTTTTAAAAAATATGCAGAGACTAATAATTAAGGATCATTCTAGACAAAAATACAATACATGGTAATGGGGCAGGGGGTGGGGGGAGGAGGAAAGTCTAGTCTCAGGGGAGAGCCCCACAGACATTCCAAGATGAAGCTATGTTTTTTGGTAATTCTAGTGGATATGGCAGCAAAAATAGTTGTAAGGGTGTTGGCTGGTTTTGAGCAAGTTATTTTCAAATATCACCTTACAGCTACATTTGCAAAAGCATCTTTGTTCATTTTGTTAACCCTGTAAAATGTCTATATGGACATCTCTTTCTAAGACAAAAGAAAAGGAGCTGGGCTGTGAAGGGGTAAGGGATGTGTGCTTTAAAACAGACATGAACCCCTTCTGGGCTCCTCTCACACAAAGGAATACAGACTCTTAAATAAAATAATACTTCCTTAAAAATCTGCCACCTCACAATTGTTTACATCATAGAAAAATAGCATTTTTTTGTAAAAAGAAATATAGTTACTTTGTTAAAATGGTCTTTTTTAAACCAGCAATTATTTTTCATATAAAGAATTTCTAAACATCCATACAGAACATAAAAATAGATAATACTGAGGGCAAAGCAGACGATGGCATGTTTGCAAATGATCAAAGTATTTCATCGCCAGATAAATAATACTCTGAGTACATTATGGTACACGTTTTAATCTTTTAGGAACTTAAAAAGATATTGCTTTTATTCTCTGATGGCAAGTTACTTATAAATAGAGTTACTTGCAGCAGCAGAAGGCTAGACTGATTAGAAACGGGTCGTATATATTCATCCATTTCCCCTCAACTCAAAGTGCTGGAACGCCAGGCAGCTGGCCCAAGTCCCAAACTCCTTAGTGCGAGCAGGGATGACAGGCCGTAGAGATGCAGAGGGGAATTTATGACATTCACAGTCCTTTCAAAATCATTCATGTCTGAATTTTCACATAGAACCAGATTAACACCAAACTATTTACCAGCTTGGCGAAGTCCATCATTACGGAGAGTTTATGTGGCTCCTTTCTAAATATAGGTATTAACTCTTCATATTATGAAAACAGATGGTTTCAACGGACTACTGCTTTATTTCCACAAAGTGACTCTGGAGGGACGAGGAGTTTCTTGGTGGCAGTGGGAGAGGCTGTGACCGCATACTATAGGCCAGCAGGCTCCAGCCGACACGGGGGCGAGCTGGGCCGGCAGGCCAGATGACACCCCGCGAGGAAACTCTAGCAATCTCGGGCTTCACTGGCATCTCCTTACACCCTCTCCACTCTGCTAGGGTCATAGGAATCTGAAAAAGCAAAAGCAAAAAAAAAAAAAAAAAAAAAAAAAAAAAGGCAAAAATAAAATATTAGTGATATATTCAATTAGTGTGTTTTCTGTTTAATCCTCAGACCACAAGTAAGTATGTTGAGGGAACAAAAAATCCACAAGTGTAAAGTGAATGCTTAGATATTTAAACAACATTGATTTCACTGAGGAGTAAGAAACTATCATTAAAAGACTATTTTAAAAGGACACGTGTGATCATTATGTAATTACAGATGGAAACATGGGAGTTGCTTAATTTTTGAAAGTCCTTTCCTGTTGTCCACAGTGGAACAGGAGGACATCGGGAACTTGAAACACAACACTGGTAAACCTGCGGGGCTACGTCTGGCTGACACTCAGGAGTTTTTTCTTTTTCTTTCTTTTCTTTCTTCTCTTTCTTTCTCTCTCTTTTTGTAAATTCCAACTCTAATGAAATCTTGCTTTAAAAAAATGCATCCTTGTGGGGCACCTGGGTGGCTCAGTTGGTAAAGCGTCTGCCTTCGGCTCAGGTCATGATCCCAGGGTCGCTGGAGGGAGACCCACATTGGGTTCCCTGCTCAGCCGGGAGTCTGCTTCTTCCTTTCCATCTAACCCTCCCCCCACTGCTTGTGCTCTCTCTCAAATAAGTAAATAAAATCTAAAAAAAAAAAAAAAAAAGCATCTTTCTAATCAAATGCAAGCTTGGGGACCCTGAAATCCTGACTGCCTGGCCGACAGCGAGAAGCCTCGGATCCCCGGCCACCACCAGCCAGCAGACAGGCCTCAGATGGACTCATGACTGGTGACACCCTCTTCTAGGCCTTCCCACATACCCAGGTGTAGGAGCCTGGACCACCACAGCCCACCCTGGAAAATCCCAACCTGGGCCCACGTGAGCGGGGTTTCCAAAATGGGACCCCATACACAAGGTCATGCAGTCGGAGGGCTGCGGCCTCCTCATCCGACTCCCTCCGGACTCACAGATCTCGGGGACCCGGGTCAGCCTCCAGCTCACCTGTGGGCCTCCTACAGCCAGAATTTCCCACCACAGCAGATCAAAGGCGTCCTGACTGTTTAAGACACGTAACAAAACCTAGAAGGACTGGCAGAACTTGGCAGTTACAAACACTACTGCAAACAGTCTCTGCTCTGATCTGTCTGGGCCACCGGCCCTGAAGAAAGCCATCGAGATCCTTTCCAATTTCTCCAGCAGCCAGACACTCTGCCGCGCCTCCTCACACCGTCTCAACTCCGCCACACCCCGGCTACGATCCCTCTGCGACCGTGACAACGAAGGCCGTGGGGACAGCGCAGAGTCGGGCGGGAGAACCCAGACGGATGCGGGAGAACCCAGGCGGATGCGGTGCGGGAAGCCGCCCGCTCCGCCTCCAACACCACCTGCTGCCCCAGGGGCCCGCGCAGCCACAAGCGGGCGGGGTGCGGGCGGGTCTGTTCCTTCACATCTCTGACACTTGGCAGAGGCTTCGGACAGCTGGGCCCGCATCTCTGTGCTCCGTCAGCCTCCCGGTTGCGGATTCCGAGGGTGACCCACTTGGAGCAAAAACCCCTTTTTTCTCCCGGAAAATGGGGTGGGCGGTCCTAACGGAGGACACGGTGGGTGGGGCGCATTTTCGGAGGCCAGAGGCAGGGAAGGGGTTGAGCATCTAGGGAACCTCTGGGTCCGTATATAGGGCACGGGACCACCCACTTCCACCGGGCAGAGGGAGACACCGCCACACAACAGGCCTGCACCCCAGGGCCCCGCTGCCGAAGCTCGCCGCCCAAGCCAGGCAGCCGGGGAAGAGCTCTGGAGGACAACAGACTCCTTCTGCAGATCCGGGAGGATGCGGGCTCATAACCTCATGTTAAATTTTTCTAGAAGTTGTGTTAAAGCAAATAAAAGGGAACAGGTACAATTAACTTCAATAATATATCTTATTTTGCCAAAGAGACCCAAATTATTATCATTTCAACAGGTAACCAATATAAAAATTGAGAACCCCCCCAAAAATGTTTAGACTAAGTCTTTGAACCCTGGTGTGTAGTTTATACTTGTAGCCTGCTGTAGCCTCAGCCTCGCTGAGTAGAGAGCCTGATGTGGGGCTCAATCCCAGGACCCTGGGATCATGACCTGAGCAGAAGGCAGAGCTTTAACCCACTGAGCCACCCAGGCGCCCTGAAAGGACCACCTTTAAATTGCAATAAAGGTACTTTGTGATATAATGGGTACTACGACACCACACAGATCACGAAGTTCTAGAAGTGCGCATGTGTGTACGCTGGGCAGGGGAACATCACAGATATCCGTGACATAAACTTATTTTAAAATTCCAGAACAGGGGCGCCTGGGTGGCTCAGTGGGTTAAAGCCTCTGCCTTTGGCTCGGGCCATGATTCCAGGGTCCTGGAATCGAGCCCTACGTCGGGCTCTCTGCTCAGCAGGGAGCCTGCTTCCTCCTCTCTCTCTGCTGCCTCTCTGCCTACTTGTGATCTCTGTCAAATACATAAATACAAAAAATCTTTAAAGTTCTAGAACAAACTCTGAATCTGAGTGGGCTGTGAATTCGGGCACGGTGAAAGGGCTCCTACCCACTGGGATGGTGGGAACAGGGGTGGGACGGGCACTGAGATGACGATTCCTGTGTGTAGAACGATAAAATATACCAAGGGGAAAACAAAACCCAAGAGTTTATCAGCAAAAAAAGCAATGAGACTTTATATTAACTTGCGAAGCAACAATGAGGGAAAAAGGTAACGTGTCTCCAAGTTCAACCATCTCGATTATATGATCTGCATTCCTCTCAGAATGAGTTTGAACAGGCCTGGTGACTGTCATGTGAGGGGCCATGGAGGTTCATCTGAGCCCCGGCGCATGGACGAAACCTCATGGGGTCCTGCTATATAATTATTTAATCATGCCAGAGAGAGCAGTGTGACACCCCAGGAGCTCTCTGCTTTTAGATCTGTGGTCATTTTATTATGTACTAAGAAATGCATCAAATGGAGAGGGGAAAAAAATTCTAGTGATTGTCAGTAACTATTGTTTAAAAAAAAAAAGTTCTCGCAGAGCTGTTTCTAAGGGCTGGCCAACATAAAAACTGGCATTATCTACGTGTTTTCAGATACCTGTCCCACCCTCATTCGCATGCCAAATGATCAAGCTGAAACGGGAGGGAGTGCCTCACTGAACTAGCCGTTTTGTGTTATAAAATCCTCCCTGAAATATGTGGGCCGTGTACAAGACACAGAAACCTGGACAAACTGGCGTTTATTATTGTAACAGGATTTGTCTTGTTTTAAAATCCTTACAGTTCTTAGGATGAGGCAGGACTGAGGGAGAAACTCATTTAACTCATGCTTAAAAGCACGTGAGCATATTTCGGGTGGGGAAGGAGGGAGCAGGAGAGGAACTGGGCAGAAACCCGATAAATCCCAACAACTCAAAAAATGGGCCACGTAACACCTTCTTCCATCACTGGGGCAAGAGTTGCACATCCTTACTGTTGTCTTTCTTGGCAAAGACCAAACTGGTCCAGTCGGATGACCAAAGAGGGCCCCGACAAATGGGTTATTTCCAACATGTATTTTGTGGAAGCAACCGAACAGCACTCACTAACGCTCCTAACAATCATACTGTATTTGTGGGAAAATGTAGAAAGTGCCATGGGCAAGTTCTGTGGAACAAAAACTCTGGACATTTCTAGCTGAAACAAGGAATCCAGTTTAAATCCTTGGATTTCAAAGTAGGAAAGAGAGAAGGGGAGGGGTGGTGCCCAACCCCACAGTGAGAGACCAGAGGGCCTGGCTCAGGACAGGGGCCCGGGGCTCTGGGTCAGCAAGGTCACACACACAAGGGCACAGTCTCCCCTTACTGTAAAAAGGTCTGAATGAATGAGTCAAGGTCCCTTCCTGTCTGCAGTTTACAATCAGGCCTTTTGACATGTCCCTCCGCTCTTCTAGAGTTCTAGAATTAGTTCTAGAGTACATCATTGCTGATTCCCCGGCCCCTGAAGAAAATGCTAGAAACAGAGATGCCTGTTTGTGGCAGCACTGAGAGGGTGAGACTGCGTTTGGGGGAAATCCCTGTTGCTGTCACCAGGAACCCACCTTGTGCTTTGACCTGGAGCAGCTCTGAAGGCGTTAAGGTGATAGGAGGGAGAGGCCCAAAGGCCAAAACCCTCTGTCCTGGGCTTTAGCACTCAGACCTTAGGGGGCCTCCTGGGACAGAGCTGGTGGGTGAACCTTTTAGGGTAGAGTGTTGAGAAAGTGCAAACTTCTCCTTTTATCTACTAAACCTTTTTCAAGTTTCAAAAAAGGTACGGTAGCAAAAACAGATAAAAGTGTGGGACAAAGGGTTTTGGAAGGTGCGCGGTAAGACCCGGCATCACAGGCTGCGTAGTTCACGTTGTTATCTCGGTACGTCTTTCTTAATCAGGTGAATAAAGAGAGTGCCGGTGGCCTGGGTGAAGGCTTGTTTGGGGCGAGAGCGCAGACTACCCACAGGACGGCCTCCTACAAGGTTCGTCAAGGTCCGACCAAAGCGGGAACGCTCTACTGATTTCCCTCTCCACAGTAAGGGGCCCAAAATTTGTTTCTGTAGGTAGCTGTCTATACTTGTTTGCATAGGTCATTTCCACAAAGATATAATCCTTCACAATATGCACAGGATCTTGATTCTTAAGCAAAGCTTCTGGATAATTCTTTGTAAAATAAAAGGAAGACTCTTTTGGTACAGCAATAACTGACAATCTTGGGATTTTCATCACCCACCAACCTCCGGTTTTCTGCACACCCGCCGGCTCGCCTGACCCCTCACCTGGGCACCAGAAGTCCTGCAGGACGTCCTTCTCCTCCCTCTGTGCCGATGGATGCCCGTCTTCTTCCAGCGGGGAGCCGCCACTGGACACAGGGGGGCTGTTCCCGGGCTTCAGAGACACCGGGCCTCCGGGCGGCACCCCGGGGCCCCTCTCGGCCTTTAGGTCCTCAGCGTCATCCACGGAGTCCGCGCTCCGTGAACTCAGGAGTCTCATCCGAGACACGGAGTTCACCTCCTTCATCCTCATCAAGCGGTCAGGGTCTGCCCTCCTCGGGGGGGAGGCCAGTTTCTCTTGTAAACTTTCGATCACTTTGGAAGTGCTTCTGAGCCGCTTTTCGGAGCCCGGCACACTTGGGGTCCTTTCTATAAAATGGAACAGCGTGGACCTGAAGGGTGGTTTTGTCCCCACATCCTTGTGATTGAAGGGCTGGGACTCCTGGGGGCTGGGCTGAGGCTCCGGGCTGGGGGCCTCGCTGGGAATGGTCCCGTCCACATTGGAGTGCTCAGTGGCCAGGGGAGCCCAACGGTCACTGTCCCTCTCCCCCACAAAGAGAGGGCTTTTGGTCCAGCCGCACTTTCTCCTGCCATAAAAGGCATCAGTGGACAGCGGGGGGTCATCCGGCGGGACTGAGCTGGGGTCATCCGGCGGGACTGAGCTGGACACAGACTCCTCCCTGGGGGCCTCCGGCCCGAGGGCACTCCCGTCAGGCTCAGGGTGCTGGTTCTGTCCCGTTCTGGTGCCTGGCAGCAGGGACTCCACGGCCACCTCAATGCCTAGGATCCTTGCAGCCCTCGCTTGAAGGGGCTCATTTGGGGGGATTTCTATTGCACTCGGTTCCCCTAAAAACCCATCTAATTTCTGGGCACTCTGCTCTCGTGCGGGCGGCAGCCCCACGGACCTCAAGTCCGGCGCGGAGAGTCCTCGGGGTTTGCTGGCAAGAGAGAGCTGCGGCGGCGGGCTCCGCCCCGCTCCGGCCCCCGCCTTCCGAGGGGCTGCTGCGCTCAGCTCCGCGGAGATGGAAACGGCTGGCAGCTCCTCACCTCCCTGGGGTGGCCGCAGTTCAGCTGGATCCGACGAGGGCACTGGTTTTGTGTCACTCGACCTAGATGTCCCTCTGTGCAGCGGACCCGGGCTGTCCGCCAGCTTGTACGCTCTGGGCTCAGCCTCCTGGTGTCCCTCCTCTGCGCCCAGGCTTCTGTGCACCCACAGCGAGGCTGCACCCCTGCCGCCGCCCACTGTCGTGGGGCCCGGGGACAGAGGCGGGGCCGGGGACCAGCTGGGCTTCTGCTCGTCACTCCAGCTCTCAGACTTACTCTTCACTCTCCCCGGCCGGGCCCCGGGCTCGTCCAGCACCGGCCTCCTTCGGGGCTCCTCAGCTCTCCAGGCCCGGCTGTCTTCACCGAAGCCCCAGGTCTTGCCCAGGACATCAGCGTGGACTTCGCACGGCCACTCTGTGTCACTGTCCTCACTGCGACTGTCACTGCTGCTCTGACCACTGTCCTCCTCCTCCTGAAGCTCCTTGTTAAAACTTTCTAGCTGGCTGATCAAGTCCCAGGGCCGCCGGCTAACCGGCTTCAGGAGAAACTGCCCGAAAGGCTGCTTGCTGTTGTAGGGGCCGGTGGTCTCCCCCTTCACCACCTCGCCCTGGGGCCTGGGGCTGGGGCCGCGGCCGCGGCCGTCCACGTCGGCCTGACCCGGCACTGCTTTCAGAACAGGTGCCTGGTGTGTGCAGGACATAGTTCTCGAGAAAGCGCTGTTGCTGGAGGGGCTCAGGGACATCTGACCTTTGAGGGGAGGGGCCTTTGGCCCCTGGTTCTGGTCCCTGGAAGCTAATGCCACGGGCACGTGAGCGTCAGAGGCCATGGGGTCTGAAAATCTGGGAGTCAGTACGGCTTTGGGGGACCCTCCCGGCTTCTCGGTGGGGGGGTGCCATGGGCTCTTGGAGTCCTCAGTGAAAGTGGTTTGTGTTTGCTGATCTCGGTACTGGTGCCCTGGCCATGAGCCAGAATACTTGAGCTCTCTGTGTTTTGCAGGGGGAATGAATCTGAGGTCATCTGTTTGTTTGCCTTCTTCTGGTTCCCCCAGATCTTGTTTCTGGAACTCTGTTCTCCCAGCCATGCTTCCTGTGAGAGCCTGCAGCTCCAGGTCGGTGGAAGACAGGCTCAGCAGACTCTGTTCTTGCAAAGCCGTGCTCTTATCAAGCCCATTCTTTTTCTCGGTGCTCTGTTTTAAGTCATTGTTGTTCGTATCTGTATCTGGCAGATGTGATTCGGATTTAACTGGGATGGAAACCAAACAAAATATCGTCTCATTCATTTTTTTCTTTGAACTTTTCTTGGTCTGAATCCCAGTTTCAAACTTCTTGAGCTTGGTCCGAGTTTCCCAGGTACTCTCGCCCTGTGGGCTTGGGGAGGAGGCTGGGCCTTCTGTGTGTCCATGCTGGCCGCGGCCCACAGCAGGCCACCGTCCTCTCGTGGCGCCGTGGTCTCTGTGGTCAGGAAAGCCGCCGTTCTCCACATCCCTGGAGAGCCGGCCCCACGGCCGCTGGGGACTGGGCTCGGTGGTGATGGAGCTGCTGATGCTGCCTGGCAGGGTCGTCACCATCTCTGAGCTCAGGGTGGCACCATCGTGGTGACTGCGTCCGGGCGCAGGTGTGGGGACGGCGCTGGGACTGCAGTTGTAGGACTTCTCCTCAACCTTTGTTTCCTGACAGAAACCCTGGGGGTGGGCGAGTTTAAAATGTCGGATCCGCGGGTCGTCGAAGGGAATGTAGAGAACAGAGCTGTCGTAAGCGGTGGTGGGCCAGGGCTGCCGAGGGGAGCTGCGAGGCGAGCGTGGGCTCACCCCATACGTGCTCCCGGCTCGTGGGGGACTGGGAGGAACCCGACAACCAGAGCCGGCCAGTTCCATCGGGGCCAGCTGCTGACGGGGACCACCACACACGGGCCGGGGGGCTGGATCGTCCCCATAAGGGTTGGAGATGTGCTGGGGCGGTGACCGGTACGACGGCGGAGGCACGTACACGGGCGGCTCCAAGCCAGAGTCGGACGCACACGGCTCCAGCCGGGGCTCGTGAGTCCTGCTCAAGTAGGAGATGCACAGGTCTGCCTGCTGACTGTCCGGAGAGTCGCTCTTCTCCACTGCCAACCGGGTGTGCTGGTGAGTGTCGTAAGATGGGGGCTTGAGGGGTCGCCCGAACTTAGGCCGGGGTAAAGGGGCCGAGGAGGCGCTCTTCTCGGGGTTCCTTGTGGATTCCAAATTTGGTGCACAATTTGGGGGATAAAATGGCATTTTAGGAACACCTGGAAAATGTCCATCGTTTAACGGAATGGGAATGTCCATGCAACTCAGGCTCTCGGGCAAAAGAACCCTGGGCAAGGACTGGGATTTCCCTTTGCTTTGGGAATTTAGTGCTCGCTCTCCTTGCATGAATGGGTACAGATCTTGAAACAATTTCTCCCCATCACCATCAGACATCTGCCGCCCTAATTTCCTTGGCTGATTCCAGCTCTCAAGGCTGATATTCTGCCACTTGGCAGGTCCCGCCATTCTTAGCTCTTCTTCCCAAACTGTCTTCTTCATCACATTCTCTGTCCTTCCTCCAACTTCCCATGGACTCTCCCTCATGTGGACAGGCAGACTGTGCGCTTGGGCCATTCCTCTGTCCTCCAGATCTTCTTGGTCCCTTGGCCCCAGCACGCCACTGACCTCCTCTCCTCTTCTTCTCCGGTGGGTGTGGTCGGGAGCAGGCTGGGGCTGAGAGGACCACCTTAGCACGGGCTGATGATAAAACCTACAAAACAAAGAGGCACGGAAGTTATACCTGGGGAGGAACCACACAGAACAAACATGTCCTTCTCTGCTTCTGTGACTGGTGTTCCAAGTCAAACTCAGGTCAGTACTTCTGCAAAATATCTTCCCAAGCAGAGTACTTACGGACTTTAAGGAGAACATGGCCCACTAATTACGGCTGGAAGGCAGCCATGAGTTTTGCCACCAGGGGCCTAGGAGTGGCAGCAACAGGCTGCCCACAAAAACATCAGGACGTTGGTGGTACTTGAGAGGTCAAGGCTCTTGGAACTCTTTTTTTTTTTTTTTTTAAATTTGGGGTTTCCAGAGTGGACACTGCCACTTTATTTATTTATTTTAAAGATTTTTTTATTTATTCATTTGACAGATAGAGATCACAAGTAGGTAGAGAGACAGGCAGAGAGAGAGGAGGAAGCAGGCTCCCTGCTGAGCAGAGAGCCCGATGCAGGGCTCGATCCCAGGACCCTGGGATCATGACCTGAGCCGAAGGCAGAGGCTTTAACCCACTGAGCCACCCAGGCGCCCCAGCTCTTGGAACTTTTAAGTGCCTAAGGGAACAAGGGTCAGCTGGAGAGCGGTATTCCTCCAAGTGTGCTCACGGGCCACCGGGAGTCCCCTCCCTGCTGCATCCTGACCACTGAGCTCTCCTGGGAGTCCATCTGGGAACCTGCTTCTCAGAGCCCTACCCTAGGGCAGTGGTTCTTAACTGCAGTGTGGGCAGGAATCATGAGAAAGGGTTGCTCAGGCCCATACTGCCGGGTCCCATTCCCAGTTTCCGATTCAGCAGTTCCGGGCGGGACTCCGCAGAACTGTAATTCTAACACCTTGCCAAGCGATGGTGTCCCAGGCACCCCACTCTGAGAACCATCACAGCCAGTCACTGTGAACCATGACTGCACGTTAGAATCCAGAGGGACTTCCCAAGTCCTGAGGCCCACACATAGCCCCGCTTCATCACGTCAGAGTCCGAGAGGCGGGAGGCAGACATGGCAGTGGGGTCTCTCCAGGCACCCCACACTCCCAGTGTGCAGTTTGAGAGAGAACCACGGCTTCAACAGAGTTCCCGTAACTTCCTTGGTAGCAGGAAGCCCCCAGGTCTCGTTAAACACATGCGTTACCAAGTCTCTCAGGTAAAAAGTTCCCATTCGGGAGGTCTGTTCAGGGTCTGGTGCCCACAGGTGATGTGGGAAACACTGCTCGTGCGACCTGGAGATGCACCAGGAGGAGGGGGGCTCTGTCCGTGGGGCAGGAGCCCTGGGCAGGTAGGAGATGGTAGCAGCGGGTGCCAGCCTGCTACCAGCTCGGCCCCATCACCTGGCCACATGGCAGAGTTTCCTTGGGAGCGCCCCCGTCTGGCCAGAGGGATGACATTGCAGCATCCCCACACGTGACTGCAGCACGCACTGGAGTTCGGAATCACTGCTCTAACGCAGCTGAAGAAGAGATCTGCACAGCACCGTGGCCAGGCGCGGAGATGGTCGCCGCCTGCTACGAGTGACCGGGGGCTGCGAGGCTCGCTTCTCGGAACTGTGGAGAAACCACCAGCCTGAAGGCAGCGTGGCCCGCGCAACTGCTCTGATTAACAGACAATGATCCAACTCCAAAACCGCTGTTCGTTTTTGAAATTATAAAAGCAATATGCATGTGTTGTCAAAAATTTGGAAAAACAGAGGAAAGTACAAAAGGCAAAAATTGCTTGTCATCCTTCCACCCAGCAAGTTATTTTGATATATACCATCGAGTCTTGATGTGGGTGAGAATGTGGATTTTTGAGGAGCCCTGGTTCCTGCTAGGGTCTGGTTTACGCAGACACTTCCCTGCGCGCACAGTGCAGGCAGCGCGGGCGCCTACGTGGCTGTTACCATGTGCTCAGTCCACGCCAAGTGCCTTCTGTCCATTAACGCACCAGCACCCCTGAGACAGGAACTGCTGTCCTTCCCACTGGACAGAGGAGGAAACGGAGGCACAGAAGGTAAGTAACTTAACACTAACATGCACTCGGGCACTTATGCTGTGTCAGGCACTGTGCGAAAGATGCCGAACGAACTGTATTTCCACTGTTCTCTCTCCCTTTTACAGGTAAGGAAACTGAGGCACAGAGAGGTTCGACATCTCTCCCAAGTTCCACAGCTTGTAAGGAGTAGGGACAGCTTCAAAGACAGTTAGGTGTGACCCAAATAAAGCCCATTCAGGTAGCCACTCCGTTTCAGTTCTTCCAACGTAATGCAAAATTCCTCAAGTGCATAATTTTAGCAGATGAAGTATTGTATCAGATCCCTTTAACCACTGTTGGGCCTCTCTAGAGGACATTCTGAAATGCTCTGAGGAATGCTGTTGTTCACAAACACTAATCAGGTCTCAGCTTAGAATAAATCCTGAGAAAATGACAGATGCTGGCGAGGATGCAGAGAAAGGGGAACCCTCCTACACTGTTGGTGGGAATGCAAGCTGGTGCGACCACTCTGGAAAACAGCATGGAGGTTCCTCAAAATGTTGAAAATAGAACTACCCTATGACCCAGCAATTGCACTACTGGGTATTTACCCTAAAGATACAAACGTAGTGATCCGAAGGGGCACGTGCACCCGAATGTTTATAGCAGCAATGTCTACAATAGCCAAAGTATGGAAAGTACCTAGATGTCCATCAACAGACGAATGGATAAAGAAGATGTGGTATATATACACAATGGAATACTATGCAGCCATCAAAAGAAATGAAATCTTGCCATTTGCGACGACGTGGATGGAACTAGAGGGCATCATGCTTAGTGAAATAAGTCCATCAGAGAAAGACAACTATCATATGATCTCCCTGATATGAGGAAGTGGAGATACAACATGGGGGCTTAAGGGGGTAGGAGAAGAATAAATGAAACAAGATGGGATTGGGAGGGAGACAAACCATAAGTGACTCTTAATCTCACAAAACAAACTGAGGGTAGCTGAGGGGAGGGGGGTTGAGAGAGGGGGGTGGGGTTTTGGACACTGGGGAGGGTATGTGCTATGGGGAATGCTGTGAAGTGTGTAAACCTGGCGATTCACAGACCTGTACCCCTGGGGATAAAAATACATTATATGTTTATTTAAAAAATAATAATAAATAAATTAAAAAAAAAAAGAAAATCCTGAGAAAAAGAATTAGTAGACTGGGGGCATTATGTTATCTATATGGTCAAATCTGCCCTTACATCCACGGTTCCAACTGACTCTCCCCTCTGTGGTACCAGGAGAGCCTATCCTGCTGAACCTTTCCCATCTCTGGTCATTAAAATTAAATTGTTTCCTTATTCGGTAAGTGGAAATAACTTCTGGTTGGTCTTAATTTGCATTTCTTTGGTTACTAGTGAGCTTAGCTGTCCCCCCCCCCCCCCCCCCCCCGTGCTCAGGTATCATTTGTGGTTTCCAAGGCTTCCTACAACACAGCCCACTTTTCGGCTGACAGACAGTGGCGTGAGGATGGTGGGAATGTGGGGAGCTCTGGAGCCGCTGGTTCTGGGCAACAGCAGGTGAAGGCCTGGGCGGGGGCTGTGGGGGAGCAGCTGCCAGGGACGGGCTGAAGGGGGACCATTCCCAACGCGCGGGCAGAGACTGCTGTTCGGCGGGGGCCTGAGTGGTGAATGACTAATACACATCTACGAGCATCATCATCGTTAACACAGGCATACCTCGCTTTACTATGCTTTGCAGACTTGTTTACAAACTGAGCGTTCAAGATTTCGGGGGAAGAAGTCGGGCAGACGGGGCGGTAACTGCAAGAGAACAAGAAGTAGGGGCGGAGCCTGGAGATAGGACTGAATCACTGCCGTCTTGTGAGAACACGGGAACGGGTGAGGCGTCGCTTTTTATCGACGAACAAAGAAAGCGGTTTCTGGAGGTGGAACCCACTCCCAGTGAAGACGCCGTGGAGACTGGTGCAAAGACAACAGAGGACTTAGAACACTACAGACGCTGAGCTGAGAGGCACAGGCCTTGAGAGGGTTCAGTCCAAGAGTGGAAGAAGTCCTGAGGGGGGTCCCATGCTGTCAGAGAGCATCACCTCTCACAGAGAAAGTGTTCACGAAAGGGAGAGGCGACCGGTGTGGCCAACGTCACTGCTGTCTCTTATTTTAAGAAATGGCCACAGCCACCCCACTTCAGCAGGTACCAACCTCCAGGCAAGATCCTCCTCCAGCAAAAGGATGATTTCGCTGAAACCTCAGATGGTGGTTAGTGTTTTTTAGGAATATTTTAATTTTTTAATTTTTTATTTCGTTAAGTAATCTCTACACCCCACATGGGGCTCGAACTCATGACCCCGAGAGCAAAAGTCGCATGTTCCACCAAGGGAGCCAGCCAGGTGCCCCCATTTGGCAATATTTTAAATTAAGTTACATGCTCTGCTTGTTTAGACGGAACACTATTGCGCACGTAAGAGACCATGGTGTGGCGTGCGTGTGACTTTAATATGTGTTGGGAAACCCTAAGACCCCTGATGGAACCCGCGCTGTCCCCAGGCACGCCATCAGAAGTGCGGGAGCAGGAATGGTACTTCGGAATTACTTCTTTTGCCTCAAGTCCTGCTCCCACCCCCATTCCCGATAACTTCTCCAGCAGCTACTTAAAGCTAAACTGAGCTATGGGTTGAAGAAGTAGAAAATACGCAAAATCAATTCAGGGTAAGGCATTTGCATGGAGCGGCCCAAGAGTTCTGCATGGACTCTTCATACAGAGTGGCGGCTGTCCTGACACTGGGCCTGGCTGAAGGCCGGCTTCTTTGTCTGCTTTTGTTGCTACTGAAATCTTGTTCCGAGCCCTTAGGATTTGAATGCTTAGCAGAACCTTCTTGGGGCAGGTTCCACAGGGACCTCGCAGGGTGGAAGCCATCGCCTCCGCCCTCCTTTCGTAGCCCTGACCTGGGGGGGGCGGGGCAGCAAGTCGCCACCATGAGCTCTGGAGGCGCAGGCCCTTCCCTCAGGAAGTCCTCTGTGACTGCCCGTCCATC